TGTGTGTGTGTGTGTGTGTGTGTGTGTGTGTGTGTGTGTGTGTGTGTAGAGTTTGCTTGTGTGTATGTCTGACTGTGTGTCTCTGGTATTTAGTTAAATGTTGGTTAATGGTCCCAGCAGCAGACAGCTAATTTCAGCTCTAGACGTCGTTTCACAGTCATGTCTCTGCTGTGGCTCTCATTCAGTGAAAATCATCCATTGTGCAGTTTTAGATGAAGCAATAAACACAAAATTGCTTGTTTAAACATTTCATACAAAGCGGTGAACACGAGCAGAAGTGTCTGTAGTCGGTAGCCACACAGATTTCACTCCAACAAAGCAGCAACAAAATCCAAAAACTCCAGACTTTTTTCAAGTGCTATGCAGGCAGACCCACGGAGATAACCCAAGCACACACAGGACATTTAAACATGAATGAATCCTGGAGTCATTTAAATAGAAAAAAGTATGATATGAACGTGAGATTGCAGTTGTCTTCAAGCAGCCACGGAAATAACTTATACTAAAAATAAGAGCAGATTTCTAAACCTACTGAAACTTATAGGCCGATCGATGTTGCAGCACTCTTTGTGTGTGTGTGTGTGTGTGTGTGTGTATGTGTGTGTGTGTGTGTGTATGGACATACATGTGAGGCAATGAGAGTCCACTAGGTGTCTCAGTGTGTTTATGTTATAAGATTGTGTCAGTCAAGTGCATCATCCTCCACAAATTACGGCTCCCTTCGGATGCAACTACAACCGAGGGCTCTCCCTTTCCTCTCTTCTTCCCATTTGCTCCCGTTTCTCTCTTCCCTTTGCTTCTTTTCTTTTCTTTTACTCTCCTCCCTTCTCTTCTCTCTCTCTTTCTCCCCCCCCCCCATGATAGATGACCTCAGTTCATTCTTACCACTGCCATCTTTTCTTCCATTCATTCTCTTTCTCAGTAAAAACAGACACACCGAGAAAGATCAAGCAAAAAAAAGCAAAGACGTATGAGAGAATCGGAGGAGAAGAATGGAGAAATAGCAGGTGAAAGAATGCCTGCTGAGAAAGGTAAAGGGATAAAAAGAGGGAGAGAAACACAACTAAATGCAGGAATAGAACGACAGTAGGTCAAATAGCGTTAGAGAAAAGATAAGGGCAAGAGAGGGAGATAGTGTTTATGTTAATGTGTGTGTGCGTGTGTGTGAGAGAGAGAGAGAGCGAGAGGGATGGAGAGAGAAGAGGAGTGATGGAGGGAGGAGGGGTTTAATCCTGCCTGGATTATGGTATAAACTGGTCCCGCAGAGCAGGAAGAGATATGCAGGAGAGAGAGGAAGTCCCACTATCCCTCCATCCATCATTCACTCCATCTCACTCGTAGAGTGATCGTGTCCCAGTGCTGCGTGGTTTCGGTTTGGATGTGAGGTCATCAGGGAAGGACGGCAGAAACACCTGACTTTTGGGAATATGTGCGCAAGTCCTGTTTGGGAATACCTCGCTTTCTGGTGACAAGGACTTGAACGCGGCTGGAGACAAAAGTTTACCGGGACGACCCAAGTCTTTCATCCCTCTCCCTTTTTTCCCCCAGCATCCTTTGGATCGAAGAGAGCGAGCATGGAGGAGAGAAGCGGATGATGGGAGCACTAGAAATAGCATTAAAAGGTGTGGAGAGGGAGTTGTAGGAACATGGCGGGAAGCCTTTGTGACTCCTGGTGCGCAGACGTGACCTTTGACACTGGAGACAGGCGCTTTCTAGACTCCATTGTGTGCTGTGGTAACCAGCTGAGCTGACATCAAATCATCAATCACTTTTCATTTGCTATAGAACTTTCTCTCCTGAACCCACATGTCTCAAAGGCAATGGTTTTAAAGCTTTAACCAAATTACATAGTGAGTAATCTTCAGAGAAATTTGGGGACGTATTTTAATCTTCCTGCATCCCACTTTGTGGCTCCGGCTTGTGCTCCTTTTAAATTAGCGTCTTGGACATCACATGGCATTGTCTCAATCTTTTGGCTCACATGAAAAGCAGCTCTCAAATCGTTCCACTCACAGACTGTGGCTTTCTCAGTATCTTGCTTAGAAGCCAAATGGAGCCGTAAATCTCCGACTGCTTTTAGGATGACATGTGTTCTCTGTCGTTGGATGTCTCACGTGAGCTTTCTGGATCCTTTGCTTTTCCTGAGCAGGCCTCGGACTCTCACAGATTCTCCACATGTCACTACGGGTCCTTGTGTATTTTAGGTCTGCCTTCTCTTCAAGCCTCGGGGGGAGTCTCAAGAGTTGAACTATGCATGAATGTGTTTGAGAAAATTGCGGATTGGAGCTTTACATTTTGGTAATGATTACTTTAACAGGCAAGTTGACAAAAAGTGTTATTCTTGTTAGGTCTGAGCAAGTTGTTAATTTGATTTCCGCTGTAATTTCCTGAATTAGGCTACGTCCTTGTGGTCCCATCCAGTTCTGCTCGGCTCTATGGAGCTTTTTAGCTTCTTTTATCACAATATTGGTTTAATAGGCTGCGACTGTACTGTTTTGCTTGACTCCCACCGCTCTCATTGTAGTTTTTTACATCATTACCCATGAAGCAAACAACGTCCCTCTTTTTATGAGTGCACTGTGACCCGAGCACTTCTAATCTCACTTTGCTCTGTCCTAATTTAATAATTTTCTCTTGGAGCCAGCGTGCAACAATTGCTGAACTGATGCGGATCGTGGCAGCTGTAGGGATGAATCGCCGGATCTGGGGAAACGCTGGGAATGCCAGTAAATGGGACAGAAATGGGCCGCACAGAGGGAGGCTGATGCTGCTGCTGTGGATTATCCTCTCCAGCTCGCTGTGCCTGATGGTCGAGGGCCAGATGAAGCTCTCACCAGAAACGTGAGTACAGTTGCACTAGAAAACCCTCACACTTAGTTTTTCACCCCCAGGAACTGAACCATTTCTGTCGGATCAAGGTTGGATGTTAATGTAAAAGCTATATATATATATATATATATATATAGATCTGTATCACATTTATTCCAAGGATCTTAAAGATACTGACTTCACTTATCCAGCCTTTTCACAAAAGTTGCTATTATTGTATTTACCTGTATGGGCTGCTATGATTGCATCCTCACTTACAACGAAACACAATGTGCTGCCATTTAGCGGCAAATACCAGTAAGATGAACCCCTGTTCTTTATTAGGACATTACATCAACAATTGCACCAGGTCATTTCCCCGTGGGCCCCCTGGCAAGTCTACGTAGCGTTGTCCTTTTTTTGAAGCCACGCGTGCGATGGATGACTGAATTATGTTCTTTCTATTTTTGCTGATGGCTCCACACAAACACACATGGGCCATATGGGTACCTGTGGGATGGGGGTGTAGCTAACTGCCAAACCATCCTACAGCATCCTACAGCTGAATTCCTAAAACCATGTCTTTGAAATGTTCTACTATAGTCGGAAAAACTGTGCTAATTAAAAATGATTCCCAAATACAAAGGGACTTGCGATTACTCATAATGCCGAATGTGTTTTCACACCAGCGTTCACTTTGTAAAATAAGTGGTCACTTTGTTCCCCTCATTTTTTCTTTTGGGAATGAAATGCTGCGTCTGTTTGTTCTCCAAAAACCAGACGAAGCTCTTTTCCCTGAACAGCTTTCAAACCTCCTGCTGACTAAAAACACTAACAGATCGATACAGTGCTGTCAGTCCACAATAGCCTATTAACTGTGTGTTTGTGTGTGTGTGTGTGTGTGTGTGTGTTAAAGTGGAAGGGGTCAAGAGAGACACAGAAATACACAGCATTTTGTTAATTGCACTGAAAACCATAGAAGCAATGGTTGATTGTACAGCATACATTGCGTGTGTGTGAGTTTTGCCCTGATACAGCTCAGAGAGCGTGTGCTGTCACTAGACGGGCTGCTGTGACAAGGGAGATTAAAGCTCCAGGGTCAGCAGAGTTCACCAAGCCAGCGAAGGTCACTGAGCCCAAAACGCTTCACTCTGCTTGGGGGGGGAGATTTGGCAGCCGGGCGCCTATGGCTCTGGAGGTTATGACCAGAACATTTCAGGCCAAGGTCAAGTCTTTAGCCTCTGAGGAAACATCGCTCTGCAGCCAGGAGGAAAACAGACAACTGCCAGAAAGACATCCATAGCAATGACACATTTTCTACATCAAATAAGTTTTATACTGAGCAGTTGCTGCCTTTACCATAACCATAGAGTTACTTACTGTGTTACATTTGGTCCGTGATGAGTTTGGTCTGCCTAAATTTCTGTCTTAATCTGACCTTGCATGCCATGTTCAGTGGTATTGTAGCTCACGGCAACATTGGTCTTCAACAGCGTTCGGTCTTAGAGGCACTACAGGGAGTGTGCAACAAACATTTCAACTATACCTTTAAACGGTTACAGTGATCTGATTCATTCAAGGCAACAGTCATGAGCGCTTTTGATATCCCTGAACAGAAAAAAACAGATAATATTTACACTCTACCTTTTCAATCCTCAAATCTTTAGAATGAACCCACCCTCATCTTTCAGAATAAATCATATCAACAAGTCAAAACAGTATTTTAGTTGCTGAGGCTGGTCAGGTTATAATCGTGGCAACCCTGCCTGCCAACCAGCAGCGAGCTGGCTGGCTCCCCATAGGTCGAGCCATCTGTCACATCCTGTCTACTCTCTAAACTCTATTATCTCTCCTTGGCTGCATTCACATGAAGGATTTGTAGAATTACTGCATGTTATAGAGCACAGAGTAACCTCTTGACCTAGCAGAATGTCAGCTTTTACTGTCACCTGAACACTAATCCCTTTAAATCTGTTATTGGTGAATGCACCCTAACCCCTTTTCGTAATTGGCTTGTAAGAGTCACTCTCACTATTGACCTTGTTTTATTAGCCCTTATTTTTTCAGGCAAGACACAAGTGAAATTATTTGGAAAGAGGGTGATTCAGAAACAGGCCTTATCTCTTTCTCTAAGCACGGTGTTACACTTGAGGGAAGTACTTTCCTGATTTGTTCCACAATTGTTTCGGAGCTAAAACACAAGGAGTTATTGCTAATAGAGTCAGTTGTGACATTTACCTCATAGTGCTTTTATTCAGTTTATTGCAATGCATTTTAAATATCCATAGTACGGAAAGTAATAAACACCTTTATTTGCCAAAATGCCAGTAATTCAATTGAGACCTCTTTCTAATAAGCAACTCTTTTTAAAGGGTTTAAACGTTGGAACTAACGATATTTGAAGGGTCAACAGATCATTTAGTAACGCTTTGTTGATCACTTCTAAGCAAGACCATCTTATGGGCTGCCATGATGTGAATAGTTCCTTTGACTGATTGGACCGTATATGGTCGCATTTACTAATGTACAAGTAAACCTGCCTTGCCTTTGTAGTTATTGCATTGTTTTCATAGATATTGATAACAGCGTTGATGATCATGTTTTCTGCGTGTCCAGGGTGCAGCAGTGGGCTGTGTCCTTTGGTAAAGAGATAGCTGCCCTGTCCGCCAGATACTCTGGAGCTAAACTGCTACAGAAGGTAAGCGATCACGCACACTAAGAAACACAGACACACACATGATGTTAGATAGAAACACGGATACACATGCACAAGCTAAAATCAGCTGCATATATATATATATATATATATATATATACATATACATACTGTATATACACAAAATTCAGATGTTTCACAAGGCATCTCAATTGTGTGTGTTTTAAGATGAATATACATTATATTGTGCGTCAGTAATCTCCCATTTCAGACAGACAAATCAGTGATGTTGAGGGGGAGGTGGTGGTTGTGGTGGGGATTTAATCCCTTTGATTGATTATCCCTAACATACAGTATATGGCCATAACATAGAAATGTATAGAGGAGGTTGCCGATTGACAATATGGCTGCTGGCATTTAGAAAATACAAAGATAAGGACTTAAATACAGAGACATAAATGTAGTTAATGGTAAAAAGAGACAGTTGGATATGGAGCAGATGAGATCATCAGATCAGACTGAGACGGGCGGGGTCCGTAGCTCCTCCCCTCCCCCCTCCCCTCTGCTCCATCGTCCAATGGGAGCCCGACTGACTGGCATACATTTGCTGTACAACATCTGCACATGGCCCAGAGACCAATGTCATGACACACTTAATTCAAAAGCACATAAATAAACTCACACGATGTTGACTTTAAAAACAATTGGTGTGCTTTAAAAGTACATACGTTAAATGTCATGCTGATATACTGTAGCTCATTGAACTGAGTTGAATTCGACTTTTGGTGTGTGAGTTACCTTAGAGACTGAAGAAGAGGTTATGCTTGTGCTTGTGCGTGTGTGTGTGTGTGTGTCTTCAAGTAATTAGGATGTGCGGTCTTCCTCAGCATGCCACCCTGTAGAATACCTAGCAGGCCCACTCACCATCTGCCACGCACACAAACACGCTGTGATACATGCTACTACTGACCGTCTCCCTCTACAGCGTCTTTATTTTTCGTTTCACACTGCATGTTTCTGTTCTACAGCACGGAAACATCCCCCAATCTAGCTGCACAAATAACCAACTTCCACAGATTTCTTCCAAAACAAACACAGCAGTATAGTGGTGTGTTGGTCGTGCTTGTGTTGAAGACTGGATTAACCTCAGATTAAATCAATGTTTAGTTGGTAGAATTTTCAGACAGATTTTAAATACTGACTGATCAAGCCGCCCCGGAGACAGTAGCAGTAAAGTGATGGTAGTGTAGTAGAAGTTGCAGTTGTCATAATAGCACCAATAATACTAGTTGCTGTCGTAACAGTATCAGTAATAGCAGTATGTGTACATAACGTAGGTGCTTTTATTTAGTCAGCGATGTGTAAAAAGCGCCCGTGCATTAGTTTAAGCTCGGCGACAAGAAGCCATTAATCACCCAGCTCTATCTAATCAATGGCTTTCTCGTTATCTGTGGAACATTTATTGACTCTGTCTTCTTGCCTGAGTAAACTGAATAGGATATTGAGTGTTTGACTTTATATCTAAAGATAATACAGTAATTGCTGGAGCTTAATTTCGTTGGAAAAGGTTTTTTTTATTGTTTATTTGCAGAAGGCTTTAATAGAGCTCTTTATCATCCCCTTTTCTCATTCATATCTGTTTGTCTCTCTTATCTGTCGAATTCAGTCTGGCTGTTTCTCCCCTCTAATGGAAATTGAAAATCTGTAAAAGTGAAAATAGTATACAGCTTACTTTGAATGACAAATAGGGCATATAGTTTCCCCACTATTCTAAGTTGTCAGAAGTTATTTTTACGTCAACAGGCTACCAAAAGTTGTAACTTGCTCGCTAAAAGGGCCTTTCCCATTTCCCCACCTTTGAACTGGGGATTTCCCATTATTAACAAGCCTATGTTCTCAACAAATGTTTAAGGAATGGTAATTATCTTCCTGCAATAGAAAACAAGTCCTATGCCTATCACCTCAAAAAAAAATCATTTACCTTCATCTGTCATCACGGCTGATGCTTTTATCATCAGTGCCGGAAATGAACCTTTCAGTCCGCAGGCAACAACAGCACAACGTCCATTAGATTACATTTATGTAACTGCTTTAATTCGATAGCTCAGTGAGCAAACCCACCAGCCACTAGCAGCCACAATAATACATTAGAACATGCACAGATGTCAGTCAGGAAGCGCGGTGTGCAGTGGATGGTTTTCTTTGTGGCGTCCCTCTGTCGTATATTGCAGATTAGAGACGGGGTCTGGGGAGTGGATAAAGTCAGGCCTTGACCCTCATCTGCACTGCAACTGTGCATGCGTGTGCATAATTATATAATACCAGGATCACTTCCATGAATATCTGTGTCTCTGTTTGTCTCTGTTGTTTTCCATTTTTTATTTGACCAAGAGAGTGAATTTATATATTATACTCCTTACTCTCTTTTGTGTTATTGATTTAATGAGCTCACATGACACTTTCTCGAGAAGGATTCTCTGTAAGTTATCCTCACTGCTATTAATGAGTCAACTGTGTCTGTTTTTTAAAAGAAATACAAGGATGTCGAGGCCGTGGTGAAGATAGAGGAGGTGGACGGAGAGGAGCTAGTAAAAAAGTTTGCCGAGGAGATGGAGGAGATGCTTGGGAGGAAGATGAAATCTGTGAAGGTAATAATGATGCGTTCCGTAAAAGCAAACACACACTTTAAGGTAATCATCTTGACATGTTTCATGTCTCCTGCAGACTTCATAATCGTTCCTGCAAGGGCAGAGTTTCTCCTTAGTTGAGGCGAGTAGAGTATATAAGCGCCTCTTTATTTTCCCGTACTTGATTACAGCCTACAAGCCCGATGGTGGTGGAGATATGGGGATATTTATTGAGTATTACTTACACTATTTAATTTGGTACTTTAATTTACTTTCAGTCTACTCCAACTGATGACGAGCAGTTATGCTCGAAACCTCCCCGAGGTGTAAATAATAAGTGGACATTGGTGCGCTGCAGTGTGCGAGCTAATTATTTGTTGATTTCACGATCTGCCCACCTACGGCTCAGCACCTGCCCTCTTTGGTTTGGATGTGCGTGCTTACTCTGACTTGTTTGCTCCGGGTGTATCCTTAACCTGGTGTGTTTTTTATCACAGAGGTTGGCAGAAGCAGCAGAGGACGCTGATCTTTACCACGAGTACAATGCAACTCTAACGGTATGTGACAATAACCTCTGTGCACAGTTTGAGACTTTTGGGCAATATTTCATCATAAAGTGATCTACAAGCGCCTCATCCTTTACTCTTCTGTCTAGTTTGAATACTTTAACTCCATGCTGATCAACACGGTGGACGAGGACGGGAATCCACTGTCGCTGGGAGGAGAATTCGCTCTGGAGAAGAATGAACACTTCAATAAACTGCCAGTCAACACACAACTGAGTAACATACAAGTCCCTACTAATGTTTACAACAGAGGTACAGAAGTGTGAACACACACACTGACACACATGCACACACATGCAGCCTGCACTTATTGTGATATACATCTGATCGCCAGTAGAATATCAACATCATCCTTTCTCTCCCTCTCTCTATAGATCCAGATATCCTGAATGGAGCCTATATGTCTGAGGCTCTGAATGACGTGTTCATCGACAACTTCCAGAAAGATCCAACTCTGACCTGGCAGTACTTTGGCAGTGCTGCAGGCTTCTTCAGGTTGTACCCAGGTACATATACGCATCCTACATTCAGGACATCCTCCGTGCTTCCCAAAATGTCCTCGGTTGCACGTTTCTCTTGTGCCGCCACAGCGTTAAGACAACATGAACAGAGCTGCAGATGAATGCTCGGGGAACACAAGCCAAACAGTGTACTTACACAGCAACTGGCGATGCAGGAAGCTGTCTGTCAAAAGTTGATGACTCGGTCTCAGCTACAATATGGCTGCTGGTTTATTCTCTCATGTGTGTGTGAGTAATTAGCAGAGGATTTGTGACACAGCTTGTTTTACTCATCCGCTACCTCATCCCTCATTATTTGACACATCTGTCATTATCCGTCCATGCATTCATTTGTCCATCCGTCAACCCAACCAGGCAGCCAAGCGGCAGTTGTGAGCGTCTGCCTTTGCTAAATCTCCATCTTTCTCTCTGTCTCCAGGGATCCAGTGGATTCCAGATGAAAATGGCGTGGTCACTTTTGATTCCAGAAACAGAAACTGGTAAGGATATATTCCTGTTAACATCAGTCCGACTACAGAAGGCTGCTTTTTGTCTGGAAAAGAGAGATCCTTCTCCTCCAGCCTCCCTTAAATATCAGATCAGGAACACAGGGAGAGAGGGAGAAGAGCACAAGAAAGGCACTGCATCACTTCTAGTTTTTTTCAGTGTGTCGAGCTGCCCCCAGTCTGCCCATATCAGCGACTATTTGGCCGATGGAGCACGTTGAATCAGTCACAGAGGCAGTTAGTGAGAGAAGTCTGTCTGACTACAGTGGCTGTTCAGCCCCCTGAATCAGTGTCTTTACCCATTTAGTGCAGTTTATCCAAATTTTTTAATTCAAAGTGCAACAAAATGTTAAAAGTTGTGAGGTGATGTTGTTCGACGTAAAAGCATCTTTATCAGTCCGCTTGTCTCGCCTTAGTTTATCAGTGCTCATACAATTGCCAACAGATTTAACGTACTGCATTGTTTAAGTTTGTTCCCTTAAATCATAAAAGAGTAGATGCTGAATAGAGAGACAGACGCACAAAGCTCTTCTCATACACATTGAAAGTAGCTCTCTTACTCCTATTACCATGAAGATCCCCAGTTGTGGGTGCAGCCTGTGTCAAAGTCATCCGTAAATCCAGCAATGGGACAAGACTGGCTTATGCATCATTACCCAAACAGTCTGATTAACGCTGCGGTTGACCGTCTCAACAGGCCCTATTCGCAGCAGACATTTTGACTTGTTACTAATTACATTAACGGTGGCTCCATTAGAGTCAAGTGACTGTGTGAAAGTGAGCCAGCAGGCATAACACCAGGACCCTGAAACCCATCATTAATTTTATTATTTACTCCTGTGCTTTTCCTGCTGTGACATGTCAAATCGTCTTCCTCGTAAAAGATCTATCAAGTAGAATAAGGCTTTGAATGAGAAAAGATTACTGTTTGGTAACAACAGTACATCAAGTTCCAGGAACTCAGACAGAACAGAAAAGGATAAGGCTTAAACTCTGCCTGTTCTGTCTGTCTGTAGATTACTGGTAAGTAACGGCCTCTGTTCATCCCGGAGTGTTATTTGGTTTGGGTTACAATAAAGATGAAGTCTTTACTGCCTTTACTGCCTCTCTGTCTCTTTCTAGGTACATCCAGGCAGCCACTTCTCCTAAAGATGTGGTAATCGTGGTGGATGTCAGTGGCAGCATGAAGGGACTCAGATTGACCATAGCCAAACACACCATCAACACAATCCTGGACACACTGGGGGAAAATGACTTTGTTAACATCATAGCTGTAAGTACACACACACACACACACACACACACACACACACACACACACACACACACACACATGCACAGTCTCGCCAGAGGCTGACAGTGTCTGATGAGTGCGATGTTGAGATTAGCACGCAGACAAGCTAATGCACAGGTACAGTACGGAGACCAGGGACAATACACGGAAATAGACCACACACATATCAAACATTTAAACAGGCATTTACTTTCAGTAACATCAAAGCTTGAAAATTAATTTCGTTTTTTTAGGTTTTTCAGGATTTTGGCTGCGTGCAACTCTACAACTACAAATCGGTGTAATAAGCATGGTTTATCCTGGTATTACTGTGTGTGTGTAATCATACGCCTCCTGCAAATCCGCTGCCCTTAAGCTGTTTTTACACAGAATTTAAAGCTACACTCTTTCAATGAACTGACCATGCAGTAAAATGAGTGCTAGAGTTTTATTTTAAAATGAAAAGGGTTTAAATACGTGTAATGTAATTCAGGGATATTGTGATCTTTAGGGATTTATTGAGGGATTGATTTGAGGGTAGTAAAACGTAATCATCACCTGTTACATAAGTCAATCATGTTGACTGTTGATCATGCGGATCATTGTTTAGATGGGGTTTATTTGGTTTCTCTCTCCAGTACAGTGATTATGTTCGCTATGTGGAGCCCTGCTTCAAGGGAACGCTGGTACAAGCTGATCTGGATAACAGAGAGGTAACGTACACACGCACGCACACACACACACACACACATATAGTGGAGACACAAGCTAGACAGCTAATTAATTCACTTAAACTCTGCTAACGTAATAATCACCGGCTGTTATCTCACTAATCCTCTAAATACGCTGTCTTCACGTCACAGTTAAAACATGACAGTGAATGAGTGCTACCTGTTTGTCAGAGGATTTAGTGATGAAACCCCTCAGAAACAGTTCATGTTAATATCCCATTGTATCACTGCTGTTTTCTTTTATTTTCCGCCCCTCATCTGTTCTTTTTTTCATACACCAACACCTTCTCAGTCTGCCCAGTCTCTCTCTGTGTGCATGTGCGTTATGTGTTGGATGTATGCCCTCCTTTCACTCCCCTCCACGTCATCGCAGATCAGGTGAGGTCGCAAGGCCGCTGACAATTTTAAGTAGATCACATGACCTGTCAACAGGAGATTTGATTGGTTTAATGCCTAGAGGCAGGCTGTAACAGAATGGGCTTACAGATGTTGGCTGACACAGTTACGCATATAAACTCATGTCGGTACACACACATTTACAGGACGACTCAGTTCTGTGGGTGTTATAAAAGAGTTCCTACGTTCCCAAACAACTACTTACCGTGTTTACTCCCACGTTAAGTCAGAATGAGTTTACCCAAACTGTCCCTCTGTTCAATGTGTATTTTTTCAAGTCATTTTTGTTATAAGTTTTGTCAACAATAATCACAGCAACAATTTGCAGTTACAGGATATACAATTATGTTAAGAGTCCACGAAGGCTACTTCTATCCCCAGTCTGCACAGTGGGGCCACCCACAACAATGTGGCCATGTATCATAGTGTGTGCTTTGTATGCAAGTGTTGATTAATCCTTATTACCTCCTTGGTGTTTTAGGGATTTTGCCATAATTTTGCCATAATTCAGTGTGCCAGTGAGCTGGGCATAATCCTTCCTCTCTACTCTTTTACTCACTCGCTCTCTCCCTTTTTTTTCTACGGTGACCTGCAAAAGGATAACATCCATGGCTAAGTGACAATGTCTGCGTTTATATGTTGTGCGTCTATCTCGCAGCATTTCAAGCTATTGGTTGATGGGCTTCATGTCAAAGGAGAGGGCAAAGTAAAAAACGGAATGAAGGAGTCTTTCAAGATCCTCAATGAGGTTTGTGGCTCTTCCCAACAATCACAGCAACTGCCAGATCTTAACAATACACAGCTTTGCTAGCAACAACAATTCCAGTTAACTCTTTGGAGATTCTATATGTGCACCGCACAATTCACAGGTCTGTAGTGCAACCTTCCAAGATCACGTAAATTGTGTGTGTTTAGGCTGCAGCGCTGGGCCAGGGCAGCCTGTGTAACCAGGCCATCATGCTGATAACAGACGGAGCCATGGAGGACTTCCAGAGTGTTTTTGAAGAGTTCAACTGGCCGGAACGACGGGTATGACACACAAACACGAACACAAGAATAATCAACTACAAGCACCAGTGTAATACACCGTAAGCACACAAACACAGATCACAGTATTTATTTAAAGCAGTTTGGAGTGGCAAATGAGTGGCGTTTATCCCATCTCATGATCTCACTATATACTTTATTGTCTCCCCAGGTTCGAGTTTTCACCTATCTGATTGGACGGGAGATGACATTTGCTGAAAATGTTAAATGGATTGCATGCAACAACAAGGGTAAAATGGGGGATCGATCAGTCAAGAATCTGCTTTGTGACGTAAATTGCTCGGTTGAATCCATGATTCTGTAATTTCAGCAACAAGGAATAGAGTAATAGGAGGTCTGTTGGCTTTCTGTGTTGTTCCCAGGTGGTGCTGTGTGGGACTGGGTATCAGGTGCTGCCCTCTTGTGAATTACACGGGGTCATGCAGCAGCTCAGACCTGAAAATAATCGCTTTATCCTGCTCTGTGCACATCAAAAATCCCTGACTAAATACCTGATTATCAGCACAGATACACTGTACTCTGTAGAAACACAACTCTGGCCCAAAAATATCCTATGTGCCCGTGTGACTCTGTGTGTAATAGGTAACAGGTGCACTCCCTTCTGCTGCGTACACTGGCAGCTGCCTCTGCCAACAACAAGATGTCCGTCATAAATAGACAATGCTTACTGTTACACTGCTGCAAAAGCCTACATACGGTTTCAGTTGAGTGAGCAGGTCTACTTAATAATATCCACAGCGGCACTCTTGTGGAGACATTACAATGGAGAAAAAGGTTGCACACATTCATACCTGGCAGTGCTTCAGTAGCCTGTTGTCTCTGAGCAGCTTCGCTGCAGGTATCCCATTGACGTCATTGTCTCCCAGTTGTAGAAATGCCATAAACCGTAGACTAAGCCAAGCTTTGAAAACAAATTCAAAAGCACATTTGTATTGATGGGAGATTCAAGCGTTTCTTTTTTTTTTTTTTTTCATTTAAAACAGCTTAGTGGGTTTTTTTTAGAATACAATTTTTTCTAAAGTCAGATAAATGAGTTTGTTGCTCTAAATGTAATACCCAAAGGCCAGAAGCAGAAAGATGAAGAAATAAATAATATGGTGACAATTTTCTTTGCTAAAATGTATGAATCCTAGTTTTTCCATCCGAGTAATGTGATATATTGTATGTGTGTACATGTATTTGTGTGTCCTGCAGGTTACTACACACACATCTCCACACTGGCTGACGTCCAGGAAAACGTTATGGAGTACCTCCATGTTCTCAGCCGACCAATGGTCATCAACCACGATCACGACATCATCTGGACTGAGGCCTACATGGACAGTGTGGTCAGTCCGCTTCTCCCATGTGCTTGCTGGGCAACACACACTATTATCTTGCTTCACTATTATCTGGCATATGTAATCACAAGGTCAGATTCATTTAGGATATATGTGCTATTACTGTTGGTAGTGATCCATTATACAGTTTCTAGAGGTGAAGTACCTCCCCTTTGGATTTCTCTCCAAAAATATATGTATGGTAATTAATGTCAAGAGACAAATACTAGGTGGTTGCAAGGTTGTTGCAAAGCAATTTCTGCAGCAATTTCTAGTGCAGAAATTGTTGGTAGTTGCATTGTTTCTATGGTGTTCTGTGATGAATAGAGAGGCGAAGTCCCTTCCCATTCCAGTGGACCACCATGAGACCTTAATTAATATGTGCAATAGTTAACGGCGAGAGACAAATATTGTTTCTATCCCTTTAAAATGTCCCGCTAATTACACACATATGTTTGTCAATTTTAAAGATAATTTGCAAGTCAAGGAAGTCGCAGTTTGCCATTGGTTTGTCGAAAGTACCATTTGGTTTTGTGTTAAACGGCTCAGGGAACGACATCTGCGACTTTCTTGACTTGCAAAATGTCCCTTAACTTTACAAGCATACTGTATGTGCCACAATTCAAACGGGATCACCTTGGTGCACTTTTAGCAACTTTGGAATATTACTAGAGGTGCTCCGACAAATATTTAGCAACACAGCAAAAATCCCTCGCATGCCAATTTGCTCAAGCAGAAATTAGTATACATTTTCAAAATAATTGTCCTTTCTAAAGTTTTCCTTTTTTTAAGTGCATCTTTAGCTACTCCACCTCTGCCTGCCTTTTTTGGTTTATATTTCCTCTATTATTTCAGTATCTGTTTTCATCTGTACCATACGTGTCATTGCCATTTCATGCTTGTTGTCTTTCCTCCATCTTCACCTTCAGTTACCAACTACAAAAGAGGTAATCATACATAGAGCTTTAATGTAACTTTTCTTTATTAAGTAACGCTATTCTTAATAAAATGAATAGAATACAGTATATAGTACCTGTAGTGTCTGGCTTAGCCTTTACAGTCAACAGCTAACAGTTTATACCTGTGTCACGTGATTAGTTTCTTCTTAATGTTGTCCTCCGTTGCTTCAAATGAGAGTGTTAGCTTAGCTTATCCTCTAGTTAGCTGGCCTAGCTTTGTCAATGCTTTTTAAAATAGTTTTTCAGCTGAGACTTGTAGAATAAAATACTACTACTTTACTTTTACTTAACTCCTTTTACAGGAGCATATTTGAGTAAATATTGTATTAGTTTCTCATTCCTTTCCCTCTGTACGTCACCTTAGTTGTGTCCTTCGTTTCAGACAGATATAACTGCTAATGTTTCTGTTCATTTCATTTTCCACCTTTTGGTCAACAAGAATGAACTCCACAAACATTTAGATTCACAGTTGTTCTCTCATAATTTAGCAAACTAATTAAGCTTGTCAACAAAAACAAGGCAGAGTAATTAACTGTGGCTGTTTTTGTGTATTTGTGCACCACAGCTGTTCAACAGTCAGGCCCAAAGCCTGCTCCTCATGACCTCTGTAGCCATGCCTGTGTTCAGCAAGAAGAAAGAGACTGTAAGTATTCATCTTTAATCACTATAATTGCAATCAGCCTCAACAGATGTCACCTGAAATTGTGCATTTATGAACCTGCTGTGTGTCTCCTGTAGTTGTCACATGGGATCCTGCTGGGAGTGGTAGGAACCGATGTGGCCTTGAAAGAACTGATGAGATTAGCTCCGAGATACAAGGTAAACGATCCACAACACATGTGTCACAAACAACATACTCTGGGTCGATTCTTCTGTGAGACAGCCGGTGACATTTGAGTCATAATTTAATGTTAATTATTCCATGTTAGTGACCCGTGTTGTGTCCTCACCTCTTTCTGTCTCTTCAGCTGGGTGTCCATGGTTACGGTTACCTCATCACCAACAACGGCTACATCTTATCTCACCCTGACCTCCGACCTCTGGTACAGACAAACATCGTGTTGTGAAGTGAATTATCGCAGCTGAGAAACGGCTGAAACTTATTAACCCTGCTCTACAGATGTGTTGCAATTAACCGAGTGTGATAATATGGGATAGGTTCCTCAAGACTTGTATTAAAGTTTGTTTGTGTGTGTGTTTGTGACAGTATAAAGATGGGAAGATACTAAAGCCAAAACCCAACTATAACAGTGTTGATCTGGCGGAGGTGGAATGGGAAGACACCGAGCAGAAAGTGAGCAACACACACGTTTCTGTCTTTTTCTTTTCTCTGTTTTAGCTGTCCTGTATATCAGTGTGAGTTGTGTTGTTCAATTAAAAGAAGTTGAATGAAGCCTAAGTATGCAGTGTTTATGTTTCAGCTGAGGACCGCCATGGTTAAAGGAGAAACTGGGACGTTGGCGTTAGACGTGAGAGCGTCTGTAGATAAAGGAGTGAGTACATTTGTTTTTGTGAGTGTGCCTGTGTGTGGCAAGATGGCGAGAGGAGCCTCTCTTTCATCTTGTTGGGATTCATTTTGTTGTTTCTCATATTATTCAAGTTTTGTCCTCTTTGAGATGACATGTTTTACTCATTGTCTTTTACGTGCATGCTGTCTTTCTTCCTCTCTGCGTTCGCTATCCTTTTTACACACTCTGTGTCCCACTCTTTGTCCCTCACAGAGGAGAGTGATGTTCCTGAAGAATGATTACTTCTACACCGTCATCAACGAGACACCGTTCAGGTTTGTCTCATCGCTTTAACAGGATTACGAAAAGTGTCAGGTTTTGAAATATCCACGATATCCAACAAAGCAACACCTGTATGAACTAATAATATAACAATATTACTGATGTTCTGTGGCAACAAATGCGTTTTGTGGGAGTTATTATGAACATGATTCATTCTGCCAGTAACAAATAATTTCTCTGTATATGACAGTCTGGGTATAGTGCTGACTCGAGGATATGGAGAGTATATCTTCATTGGAAACGTCTCTGTTGAGGAGGGTAAGTCTCTCCCTTCTCTCTTAGTTTCTCTGTATTTCTGCTGATATTCTTACCCTCGCTTGTGTTTTTTCGCTTCAGGTCTCCATGACTTACTGGCTCCAGACCTGACCATAGCCAGTGAATGGTGAGGACTGCATAACTAGCAAAACATAGATGTTACGGGATTCCAACCGCTTTAAGTGGTTGTAACTCTCCGTGACAGTATGACTACAGTGCATGTTTGGGATGTGTGTGCTTGTAGGACCTACTGTGAGACAGACATTGACCCGGCCCATCGTAAGCTGAGCCAGTTGCAGGCTGTGGTGCGATACCTCACTGGCAAAGAACCAGATCTGGAGTGTAAGTGGACACTTTAACCTCAGCATGTATAATAACATTGGGATAAACCATGATCGTAATCGTCAAAACTGTCGGCCTCATCCAGTGCAAAATATTTATTTTCTGTCGTCGTCATTTTTGGCCCCAGTCCTTTGTATCATTCGTAATATCTCTTTTGTTTCTCTCGACAGGTGATGTGCAGTTGTTGCAACAAACTCTATTTGATGCTGTGGTCACGGCTCCTATGGAAGCCTACTGGACCGCTCTCATGCTCAACACATCTGGGTGACTATTAACACACACGCACACCCACATACGTCTTTAATTAAGACATGGACTTTTTACATGAGTACTCACTTTATTATAATTATCTTTTACAAATATTTACCATTCTATCTGCTCCACCTTGCTCTTTTTTATGTCTCTCCCTCTCTCTCTCTCTCTTTCAGTATGGATGAGGGGGTAGAAACTGCATTCTTGGGGACCCGTTCTGGCCTAATGAGGTTCCAGAGATACACTGGTATTGAGAAACGAGTCGCCAAGTGAGTCAGAAAAACGGCCATTTTGTACATTCAATAACATCACATCAAATTAGTCACACCATTATGTCCACGCCCAAAATCTTTAACAATGGGGTTGAATAAGTTAAAACTGTTGATATGATAGTCATAGGAGTTACAGCTCTGAATTGAAGTTTTAATTACAGTAAGATGAGAGTTCGCCCTCCGGTGGTCGATAAAAGTGCCGCTGTTAATGAGTGCAAAATTATGCTCACATCTTTCTGTTGCTCTCTTCATCCTATCCTCCTTTTCAATCTTCCATCTTTTCTTTTGTCATCATAATTAGGCAGCAGAGACTATGTTTTTCTTTAAGCTTATTTTTATCCCTCCCCAGGTTTTTCCTGACCTCCGTAGACATGGAGAATATGTTCACATTGGACCATTTCCCAGTGTGGTACCGCAGAGCGTCCGAGTACCCAGCTGGACAGTTTCTATACCACATGCCCAGACAGGAGACTAGAGGTAGTGGAGATACTTTTACCGAGCAAACACATACACGTACACACACACACACACACACACACACACACACACACACACACACACACACACGGACAGACGACACATTTTCTGTGCTTTTTTTAATTTCCAATTTCCTCAGCCATGTTGAGCCAAATATCTCTCAGTGACATGCACAGTTACCTGGCCGGCAGGCTGCAATTGCTCCTCTCTGTTGACTTTGTTGTATATTCATGAAGTTTGTATCCAACACGGGTTTGGAAAGTGTGAAAGAAAAGTAGCCCATCGACCATGAAGTGTTTAGTCTTGATGGATATTCTACTTATGTTTATTCTTTAGTTCATTTTCTGGGAATTCGCTGTTTCTGAAGAACAATCAGTAGCTTCAGAGTGACAAAGTCAACAGCTACTGTCATCATATTTATCATCACATCACACTAACACTTAACTCCATCTGTATATGTAGTCGAGAAATGAAAGTCAGTAAAAAAGATGGGATCTTGAGCTTGATCCTTCTCTGCCTCTGCATTTCCTTTTCTTACTGAGCTCTGCTTGAATGAAATGCCTTTTTAAAGTGCTTTAAAAAGAAGGACAGGAATTTAAATGTAATCGTTACTGAATAGTGCAGACTTAAATGTGATTTTGTTGAAATATTCAGTGAATTTGAGGCTGATAATTCTGCCCTTCCTCATGACAGAACACACTTCCTGACTCACTCAAAGGTTCAAATGACCACAAATTGCCTTATGTATGTTTTAGGTTGATGTTAGATATAGTTTGTTGTGTTCAGATATATTCAGGGACTATGAGGCTGACTATAGCGCCACCTTGAGTGCAGAGGAGGTGGAGCTTGAAGCGGAGGAGGGAGGGAGAAAACAAAGTGAGGCGGAGATGGAGGAGGAGGGTAGAGGAAAACTTTTACTTATACTTGGCATGCCTCCTTGATTTATTCATCCTGGTTCTGGTCGTCCTCACCCCTAACTGAAAAGCATGACAAATACTGTGGTCTCTGTTCTCCGTTTCTACACCCTTCTCTGTTTTCTTTATCTCTTTTTGGCGCTGTTTCTCTTTTTTTCTCATTCCTCTTGCGGCATGAGCATGCAATTAAAGTACAGGAACCTCCTCTCCTCTCTCAGGGAATCACTAAGCCTTCTGGTACATTTTAATTGTGCTGAGTTGATAGCTGTCTGTCTTTGACTAATACTTGTTGAGAAGTAAAAATCTGGTTTCATAGAGTTTTTTGACTGTATTACCTCTGTCATTCTGTTACTACAAAACAAGAAATCCCATTCTCATCCAAATTGCAGAATGTCCTGAATGTGTGATTGTCATGCAGGCATATTATAGTTTTGTTTTATATAATAAAAATATGAATAACAGAAATACAAACATAGGCAAACACACAGTACACACACACACATAGATTACCTTTGTTATGAGTGTACGATCAGCTTTCATGCTCTGTTACATAACGCTTAAAATGTTAATCTGGCTGGATTCTGGCTCACTGACCGTCGGCATCAGGTGGCATGAGGGCTGTGAATAGACACACAGAAGATGAATGCATGACTTTATTAGATATTACCCACTGAGTCCAACTCAATCTGTCACCCACATATTTTGGCATATCTGTACTAACACTTCAGCTGTCACTATCACAGTAAGAGTTCACAGATTTACAAATGATATATTCATTATGTGAGAAAATAATTATTTTTGGAAACATATTCCTTTTCACCTCCTGTGCATGCATATGTACTCGTGTACGTGTTTGGAAGGAATTTTTATGTGTTTGCGATGTGCATGCATGCACCCTTGTTTTTTTACATGCATGAAGTGGTGAAGTTCTGTAAATTCTTGCTAATTGCGTGTGTCGCTCTACCAGCAGGAAGGATAGTCATCGCTACCACTGCCGTCACTGTAATGGTGGGAAAGAAAACTGCCATCGCTGGAGGTAGGATGACAGTTTTTGTTTTGATACACATTCTCTTTTCTGTCCTTTTACACACATTTTTACATCTCCTCTTTGCCACACACGCAATTTTTCTCTCTTTCTAAATTTTCCTTTTCTCTTGCAAAGTGTCCTCTCCCTTCATGTTTAAAGCATCTTCTGCCTCTTCATTCGTCTGTTGTTTTCTTACCGTTTGAAACTGGCTGCTTAGTTGGTGACAGTGACCTTGCTGACTGGATAGTGATTGCTTGTAGCATCACTTTCCAATCGGCATGTTGGTTATTGATGTGCTGATTTGTCAGTGCCATGCTTATTGGATGAATGATGGTCACTGGCCATGGTTTTGTTTTGTTGTAACAGATAACAAATAGAGCTTGGCTTGTTTCATTCACAGTTTGGTATTTACTCAGCCTGTTACTGTACTCGCTGGAAGTCGCTCTGAATAAGATTACAAGGTCTTTTGAAGACAAGAGGATTTTGTGAGCTGTGTGACATTTGTCTAAGATGTGAAATTCACAACATGATAAACTATTTAGACAGATATTTTGAATAGAACCCAGGTTCACCATTACTGGATTTTTCGAGGCTAATGCTGATAACAGCTCTTTAGAATGATGACATGCTGAAGACAAGATACTGTCCGATATTCCATTTTCGATGTAGATTGTGTATTATTTTACAGTTTAACAATAACATTTGTTGAAAAAATATCAGTAAAAATAAATATATGACAATGTGACAACAGAATTAATTCAAATAATGGTTATAAAGACACATAAAGATAAACAATAATAAAAATACAAATTGGTCTACAAAAAATGCTGGCAATACAACATTAACTTGAGAGAACAATCTTACCACAGTGTCCATTTAGCAGATGTTCCAGTCTTGTCATGGACAAGGAGTCCTGAAAGTGCACTGATAAAATGTAAATTTGAACCTTTTTTTTTTTTCATCCGCTATTTCCAAGATCAAGAATGAAGCTCAAATCATTTTCTGCTGCAGTTTACTGCTCAGTAGTTTCTACAAACATACCAATATGTCTTTGATAACCCGAGCCAGTAATATCGGCCTGCTGATGTATCGGTGCAGCTCTAATTGTGATCACGTACCTGGGAGGTTTCCTTTCACTGAGGCTCCTTATGATGATGAGTGTGGTGTCTTTTCTTAAAGATGTTTCAGATGGCTCCATAAGGAAAAGGTTTATGGAGCTGTATTTGGGAGTGTTTATGTTGTCTTATAGTTCATCGTCTCAGGCCTTATTTCACTGCTTACTGGTGTTTGTGTTGCTGTGTATTCTGTCCTGGTGAGCCCATCGGTGTCTGACACACTCCTCAGTCTTAATTACTCGAGGTAGCACTCTCTGGGGCTGCATGTCTTTAAGTGTATACCTGTGTGCATTTGGTGTCTCATTATGCTGACAGATAGACAAGGAAAACGCTCCATACGAATTTAAACACACTCACACACAAACACAAGCGCTTATCTGTATTTCACAGCTTTCATAGAAATCGTCTCAGGTGTGAAAATCGTGTTATACTTGGAATTGGAAAACAGAGAGAGAAGTGAGAGAAAGAGTTCAAAATAGATGTGTTTCTCTCTCTCTCTCTCTCTCTCTCTTAATCTCAATGCCTCTCATTCTTAACGTTTTTCTCTTTTCTATTTCTCTCCGTGTTGCTTCGCTCCGTCTCTCTCTGCTTGTTTGGAAACGTTGACGTCACAGTGTGTCGAATCCAGAGCTCTGCTGTGACCTACTGTACCTATTGTAAATTCTCAGTGACACAGAGCAGACTGAAAGATGTGAAATAACTATTACATCTACATACAATACAGCATTTACATGAAAGTAAGTGCACAGTATTAAGAAAAATGTACGCGGCAAGAAGATTTCTGATTAGTTGTATTAATTGATGTTGAGGGAAGGTGATTTCTGTGTGTGTCGATGGTAGATTGTGTTATGATGATCACCGATTGGAGGTCATAGTTTGCTTTTTATTCACTGCTGCTGCTCACTGGATGTTCTACCAGCTGCTTCACTTCAACAAAAACACAGGGGGAATGACGGCATCAATGTTTTATGGACTCGCTCTCTCTGACTTACTTTAACACACCCTCAAACAAAGATACCCACTCACATCCACACTCGTCATCGTGTCTCACCCTTTGACACTCTTCCTTACCCTGTTAAACATTCACATACACCTCTCTTTTCTTAGCTTCTCCCTTGCTGAGCTGTCAGACCTGTTTCTTTTCGCCTTGTGACTCTCTTTTACCCTGTCTCGCTGCGTCTGCGTAGGCAAGGGCGCCTTTCTCATCGAGGGTCACGCTTCACTTCTGAACACAAGGGGATATTCAAAAGCTCACAGGCTGTTCCGTTCCCACCTTTGGCACGACGTCTTTACTTGTACGAGTGTGTTTCTGCCTTGATCTAGCTTTTGAAGGAGTTTTCATGTATATACTGTAAAATCAGAAAATGTTAATACTGTACACAAACACAAAAAAACACACGTATAAACAGCTCTATTACATACAAATGTGGGCCACTGTAAAAGCACTCGCTTCACATTCTAAAAATGTTGTGATTCCATTTGTAGCCACTGAGTGTCAGTGTTTATCTGAACACACTGCGTGTCTGCTTTCTAGCGATTTGGTGGCAGGTGATGAAGGCCAAGGATTTGGTATTTCAGAGGCTGATCCAAAATCAGTCAACAGTGACTACAAAAACACTGTGTTTATACTCCTCGAAGGCTCAGCAATGGATTAGTATATCTCTGTGGCAGAAGTGACAGGCTAAAACCTAATACGCTCCAATTGACAGGGAAGCAGACTGTAAGAAAGAGAGATAAGTAGGTAAAATTAAAAAAAAGAGAGTGAGCAGGGAGAGAATAAAGGATAGAGAGAGATATCTGACATGGAGGAGGAGGAGAAGAAGTGGCGAATAAAGATAAAAAGGAGGGAGGAAACATAATAGACCAGACAGAGCAAAGGATAAAGAGGGCAGAGATGAGAGAAAAGAAGGTGAAAAGACTCTAAAAATGATGGGAGAAGAGGCGACAGGAAGATAAATTGAGACAAGATAAGTGCGAGGAGAAGGGAAGGAGAACGAAGATGAGAAATAGAGAAAGGGGAGAGGAGTTAGAGGGCAAAAGACAGAGAAAATGAGATAAGGTACAGTATATACAGAGGAGCTGCTATCATGGCTGATTTATGCTTTCATTTGGTGCTGTGTATTTAACCCAGCTCAGCACATAACGTCATATTTTCATGCTTTCTCTTTCACCCAGAAATAGAAATTGTACACTGTGAATATAGAAAGACAAAGACCCCAATTATTGAAATTATAAATCTTCTAAATTCCATTTATGCGAATAATGCGAATCTTCTATAATGAATATAGTTTGTGTAAAATATGGTGTTTTTTTTATCTACACATTCTTACTTAATACCTGCTTTATTTTGTGCTCTTGGTAATATTGAAAGAACAGCAAGTTGCTGTCGTCTTTCAATGCTGGTCAGCGGTCTGGATATAAGTCTGACATACGTGTGATATGTTTTTATTCAAATCAATGCATATTGACCGGGAAATGCTTCATCGTCACCATCATGGCGTCACTGTCATAATCACAATCATCATAGTAACACAACACGCCACAGATTTGCGGGCAATGCACTGTAGTCTTTGTAGGCCCTCAGTCATCATGGCTGCTGCAGTTTTTACGTAACAAACTATAATTTATTTTTCTTTACACACACACAGGCTATAGGAACAGGTTTCTGCTAGCTAAGATACTTAGCTACCAACAACACAAGACCTGCAGACCGACCAGGGGTGACGGGACAATGGTTCTACATTCATAGACAGAGTTCAGCCATTGCCTTTTATCTTCAGTTACTGCCCCAGAGTCCCTGTGATTCATGGCTATATTTACACTTTAATATCCCTTTACTACATTCTCCTGAAGATGCCGATTATTCATTTAAATCTACAGCTAAATTAATTTTACCTGAGCGTCGTTGCTGTCTCTTTACATTAGTGAGGTGACCAAAAGTGCGTTCAGACTTCAGACATTGAAAGTGCGTTCAATTCAGGATCAAATAATTCTCCAGGTTTATGTGCATCTTGAGTTCCGACCAGCTCAGTCTCCAACAAATATTTTCATATGCAACTACTGTGGGGTCCACTGCTGATGCAAGAAGTGTTCATAATGTTCATAAATGCAGCAAATGTGAAGGTGTGGAGATAAATAATGGTTTCTCTGATCTCATGCCCCATCCCACACAAGGCATTTGAATTGACAGTTTTAATATTTAACCAGGAACATAACCTTTCGCTGAAGCTTGAGTTCCACTTGAGTTACTTATCATATCACAATGCCTGCATAACTATAATACTTATCATGTTTGGATGTTGTAGAAATAACAAAAATTAAAAAAGACAATGCAAGTGTTCTGCCTGATGCTAATCCTGTATGTTATTTTAAAGTAGTTGCATAATTAAATATTACTTGTTGGAGATAAAGTTCCGCGAGAAAAAAAGTAAAAAAATAAGGTTACCTGTCTCTTAAGTGACTCTGCTAAATAACGTCTCCCTGATACATTCCACAAGCGAGGCAGTATGGAGACGTTTTCACTCTCAATGGCCAAACTCTTTCTATGCCTCTTGCAGAAACGTCACCAGCTACTGAACACAAATCAATAAACACAACGAATAAACGAACATTACACAGATATTTAAACCTAAAACAAAACATAGAAGTCGTTAACACAGCGAAAGACATACATCATGAATTCATACAGAAAACCGTAAACAGTTAAGTCAAAAACATTTGGGGGATTTATGGGCCAACACACCATATTAGAGACTAATATAATAATATGTATCTGCATCATACCCAGGTATAAGATAACACACTATAAATATAGGTTTATTTCCAGCCAATTATAAATTGAGAGGGGACAATAGTTCTTCTGTAGGGGAGCAATATGCAATGGAAGCCAAATTCTTGAGACTGTTTATCACTGAAGACAAAAGAAATCTAAATATTTCAGTGCATGAATGAGGATACTTAAGCGAACACCATGCAAAGCAAACAGACTAACCTTCTTGTGTGAATGAGGGAGTGCCAATCAAACAGATTCCTCATAAATATGTGACGATTGCTAAGTTTATAACAGAAGGACTCTTTGGCGATGACATCATTTTCATGTTATGGTGACACAGCAGCCATTGCATATTGCTGACCTTTGAGGAAAAACATAAGGACACCAATATGGGAGAAGGGATGGATGAAAGGAAAGGAGGAGGAGGGAAGTCTTTTAGGAAAGTGTGAAACACTTTCCATGAATAGCACTGGATGGAAAGATGGAAGGAGAGATCAAAGGATGGGGAGGAGGGGGGGAAAATAGCAGCTTCTTTTTGTTTAATCCCTTGTACGTTATAATCCCTTTGGGCAAATCGTCCATTTTAGAGAGAAAGAGAGGGGAGGGAGGAGGGAGGCCAGAGGGGATCCGATTAGGGAAATAAAGTGCAGGAGTCTGAAGTTTTCAGTCCTTAGATGACGTTTTGGAGTCCTTGACAGGAGACAGGGTTCTCTGAGATAGTGCTTCCATGCCATAGTCGCAAACATTCACCTTTGACGGGTGAACTCAGTCTGAAAATGAGCTCTGAACAAAGAATATTTGTCTTAAAGCAAAGTCTGTGGTCCTTTAAATCTCAATAATTTCATTAAAACTATTGTGACTACTGTTCTGAACCAGCATAGCTAGAAGCGTAGAACAAGAAATACCAGAAGGTTTGCTTGGCCGCTTTTTCACCACGATAAGTGACTTTTGAGCCGTCCAGATAATTTAACAAGCATCATGTCAGCAAGAGCCTTATTCTGAGCAAAAGTGAAAGATACAGCAGACTCAAATTGCAGTTAAAATGGTTTGTTCCCCTTTGAACTGAACTCATACGATTCATGTAAAATCCCATACACAGCTCCAGTCTGTGACACCTGGTGGATGTTATTGGTCTAGAGAAGATCCAGAGAGAAACAGATCTGGTCCAAATATCTAATCGTTGTCTCTGACCTCATGTATTTGAAAGGTCCAGCCATCCATGAATGATTGTTTAGTCAATCCAAATGGTTTCCTGTTAAACATCCCTAAAGAGTCTTGAGGGACACCAGCCTCAGGAGACTCTGTGTTTTATTTCCTATCAACATATAATCTCCCCAGTATTCTCTCTGCAACAAAGCACTAGAGAGGCATTGGCCATATAAATGTGGGATTTGGAGGACGAAGGGAACATCAGAGGAGCAGTAGACCAGACGGGAGGTGAAGGGGATCAGGGTGGGGGTCCTGGTTTTTTGGAGGAACTACTGGCATTGGAGAGGTTGAGAAAGATACAAACAAAATGAGAGCTGAGCACAACCTAACACAACAACTTCTTCTCATCATTATGAATATTGGTCCAATTGACACCATACATACCGCAAATCCCTGAAAATTCGATCCAGTTTTACAAATACCGACTGTACACCGAAAGCATCTTGTAACAGCTTAAATGATATGTTTCACACTAGAGGTATTACTAAATCAGTATTCTCTCAGCCAATATAATGGTAAATTCAGCAGCAGCCAAGAGCAGCAGTAGGTGGTTGGTAGGCGAGTTGGAGGGATGATTGGTAACGAATACTGCAGTGAGAAAGGCTCCAAATAGAAGAGAAAATCAGGGAACAGATAAGGTGTATGTGAAGTGTTCGAGAGAGGGACAGGGAGGGGGAAGGTTAAAAATAGAAAGAGGACGAAGAAAGGACGATAAAAAGTGGGAGAAAGGTGTCAGTTTGAGAGTCCGATTGAGAGATACCATAACTGTCTGCGTGCATAAAACAAGCTCTTCAATCCCTGTCTTCTTTGAGCCCTTTGCAATCTTCACCCTATCCAACCTTCACATGTCAACCCTCCCCCCGTCCTGTAACTCCTCTAGGCCACCGAGGAGATCTGTTTGTCCTCCCTATCGTCCCCGTCTGCCTCCCCGTCTCCCATCAGTGGCTGCCTCTTCTTCAGCTCTCTCTGGTACTTGGCCATCAGCGAGGCGTAGATGCAGCCGTAAGCCGCGGCTGCAACCATCATGATGCAAACGATGCCGCACACCACGCCGGCAATCACCACGGTGCCGATGGCGCGGCGCACGCTCACGGGCTTATAACGGGCGCGGACACAATCCGGTGGGGCCTCTCCGCCTCCACCTCCTCCTCCACCTCCTCCACCTCTCGTGTTTGAAGAGGAGTCATCAGCAGTGTTGCTGTTGTCAGAGATTGGTGTTGCCCCACTGGGGTTAAGAGCGTTCCTGCTGCAGGGAGGACCGGAACGAGAACCCTCACCTCCTGCTCCCCCATTCTCATCTTCAAGTTGGAGGCAGTAGTTGAACATTTCCACCGGAACGCCACGGATGTCTCGCCCACGCAGATCCTTCGGTAGCGTGCACTCGACCGCGTCCACCTTCCCCCCTGAAGGAGAGAGAGAGCGGCGCAGAGACAGAAGAGAGGGTCATTTATAAATGCCTTATGCCTGCAAAGCAGAACCAATTAACTGTGAGAGAAGAAAAGATAGAGTTGGGTGGTTGTGCCAACACTAGGATGAGTCATACATCACTTAACACACACACACACAGCTTTCTGTGCCCTCTACACTAAGTTAGAGATAGCCTCAACTAAACCTTTCTATAATTCATGAGATGACATGCCTAGCTTTAGCAGAGCTGTGTGTGGAAGAGCGAAATATCTGAGTCACTAATTCCCACGGGCGGCAGGAGGGTGGGGGATCTACTTTGTTATCATCACATGCTGAGTTTGTCTTCACGTGTAATATTTGTCTCCAGGTTGCGTGTCGATCGGCAACCTCAGATACATAAAGCAACGTAAACAACGACATGAAGGCGAAGGATAAGAGGAAGACAGAATGAGGAAAGTGATATTTAGGCCCCAGATGCTTTTTTTTCTCGGCGTGCTACAAATGAATTCCCCTTGCAAACAGAGCTCGCTCTCTAAATATCCCAGTCGTGTGTGCTTGAAGCAGGAGATAGAAGTCAACATGGGCTGCTGTCAGCGAGCATTTCACACTTGTTCGGTGCTTTGTCTTACTTTCTACAACACACATCGTGCATCGTCTACCCTTCCAACTGTCACGCTTTCATGTTCAACTACGAAATGTCTCCTTGTAATTTCCTTTGCTGCTCTGGGGATTATTTAATCATATATCTGCCGTGTGTTTGCTGGACAGCTGGAGAGTTGGGGCGCAGCAAAGCAGGACCGAGCAGAATGCAGCAAGGAGGAGAATGGAGCAGAAAAGAGATGCTTCATTAGCGGGGCAGCTGAGGCCCAAGGCGCTGAGGTGAATGTAGATTTTTACACATGATGAGAGAGCGGAGAGCAGGTGTGGTTATCTGATGTATTAACAGCCCGCAGAGAAACATGGTGCACACACTGGGCGTGAAAATGTGCATTTCACTTGCCGACGCAGTTGTATTGTGTTGCTAGAAGCACAGGCCAGCAGAAGCACACACCTAGCTGTCTCTGGTGAACTAGAATTCTCTAGTTTCTGCCCACTTCTCATTGCCCTCTTGTCCTGTCCCCTCAAATGCACCCTTTCAAAGCTCCTGTAGCATAAATTTAAACTTCTACCTCTGTACAGCAGCCACTCCATCCAGTGTTTGAAGTCGCGGAGGTTGCAGTCACACTCCCAGGGGTTATGTCCCAGTTCCAGGTGTCGTAGGTTTGCAAGTGGCTCAAACGCTGCCCTCTCCAGACCATGAAGCCGGTTACCCGCCAGAGACAGCCACCTATGAAATAATTAAAATAAAAATGAATTAACTTTTTTTAACTCCAACAAATAAGATAAACGTACCCTTGTGGCACTGATTCCAAAAACCAGGCAACCACTAAATGTAGTGTACGACTGTTGAATTTCTTAATTGTATATTGATGGTGATATCATCATACTGTGTTAAAGTTTGCAAGTTGCAATTAAAAACTGCATGCATGAAAAGGTTTGTCTGAAATATGGCTGAACAAACAGGTCATTGAACATCAAGTTGATAATCTTTATGTAATTTTGCATACATTTGGCAAATTTTGGCATACTGTATATTGTCGGGGCACATTGATTTAAACATGCCAGTGTACAGAGTGTGTCCTGATGTCTACCTGAGGCTCTGCAGCTCATCCAGTACCCCCAGAGGAACAGAGGACAGGCCATTCAGGGACAGATCCAGACTCTGAAGACCCCCCAAACCCTGCCGAAACATCGAAACAATCTTTGCTCATACAGTACGGCATCGTACAGTACATTTCCCTCATGTCGTATTAGTATTATCGGCTTCTGTCACCGTTGCCAAGGGGCACAGCGAGCGTCGCTCGATGGGCTTATCTTGTTTGATTTAGGGACCCGGGTGAAGTCATGAGACAAGCTCATCCTGCAGGCGGCTTTGGTTCAAATAAAAGTGGATGAGAGTGTTAAGCAAACGAGTTACTACAAATGTACCGCCTGGACGGGATCCCGGTCATGTATATCTGCTTAGGTTGGCTTGACTCCCAGCAGAGCCTTAGTCGGGAGGTGAAACAGTGTATCAGTAGTGGTGTCAGCTTCGTTCTCTGTCCAGATGCTTTAGTATTTTTGGTGGATTGGCTGATCTGATGACATCTCAAATACAGTGCATGAGGTCCTGTGTGATTCTTAGCTTGAATACGGCATCAGTGAGCTTCTTATAGACTGTACCATGTGTGGTGTTGTACCTGGAAGAGATCTCTTTCCATTACTGTAAGTGAGTTGTTGTGCAGAGTCAGTCTCGTCAGGTTGGACATGTCTCTGAATAATCCAGCGGGTAAATTATCCAGGTAGTTATTAGAGAGGTCCAGTTCCTAAAATTCACACACATAAAAAGTACATTATTTATTTACATACACATTTGCATTGCTGACACCACATTGCTGATGCTTTTCTTTTTTAAATGGAAAGTGAGATTCAGTGACTTGTTTCAAGAGAATGAATGCATAAGTCCTGGATCAATCTTTAACGTGAACTTAAAACGTGAACTTAAAACTTGAACACATTTCATACTTTAAGCTGGCGCTCCTATGCAGAGTAATTCACATCAAGTGCAATGCTAGGTTAAGTGTAAAGCTCTCCATAGATCACCAATGCAACAAACTGTTGCTCAGCAGTGTGGAAATAAATTGCCTTTTTTGCTGGTGCAGTAACTATCGATCATTTCTAGCGCATATATTAATAAATAGCAACTTGGCTGTGCTTTGCACACAATACGCTCATAATGAGTAGCCCTGCAAAACTTTGAAAATGTCAGCTTATCTTAACTTTTTTTCAGACTGAGAGCAGATGTTGTCTGCAGTTTGCTCAATGTGAGCCTCACCAGATAGAATCACTTGTTCTCCTTAGGGCTATTCAGTGTGCAAGGTCAGTGCACAAAACACTGTGCATGCCACGGTACACAACAATGCAACCAACAAACAAAAAAATTCCACTGACAACAATATAAAAAATGTGCTGCAGACCTCCAGAGAGGAGAGGTTAGCGAAGGCAGAGGCTCCCAGCGAGGCGAGCTTGTTGTTGGCTAGCAGGAGGGAGCGGCTCCCTGGAGGCAGGAGGTGAAGGGGGGGCAGGGAGGAGAGAGCCCGGCCCCCGCAGTCCACCACCAGACCGTCTGAGTCGCAGAGACAGGGAGGAGGGCAGGAGGTGGCTGCCGACAGCAGCGTCGCCAGGAGGCAGAGGACACGGAGGCAGACTTGAGGAAGAGAAAGAGGAGCAAAGAGACAAAACATGATTATTCTTTTACAGTGAATTATCTTTTCTCAGTGTGGAAACTAGTCAGGAGGATGTGTAGGAAGGACTGCAGAGAAAGTGGGAGAAATAAGTCAACACATAAAGAGGAATGAATTGAAAGATGGAGCACTTTTAAGTGGAAATTGGTTTCTCGGTTTGCACTGTAAGACACATGGTCAACCTAGCTGTCAGTCATTTGCGGGACCTTTTGTTAGATGCAATGTTAGTCGAAGAGAAATCATTAGAAAGTAGAACCAGAACTATCCCTTTCCACAGAAGCTTTTAGTGTGTATGTAGTGTGTGTATGTTTGTGTGCATCTCGCAGACATCTGAGTGACACTCGTGAGCGAAATCCCTTCTGTTTTATTTCATTTTGGACTGATTGTTTTCCCGCAGATTGTAATCATTTCATCATTTCCACTCATAACTTTCTCTCTTCTCCTCTTCCATTGTGTTTCCATATTTTTCTGCTCGTCATTTTTTTGCACCTTTTCCGTCTTAATTTGTATCCATCAACCAAAGCCTTTTCATTCATTCCTTTTCACATTTATCTCTCTGTCTGTCTGTCTGTCTTTGCATCCGTCTGTCCCTCTCTCCACTCCACTCCAATTGTCTCTCGCCCCCTGTAGTCTCTTTATCTTTCTCATTCTCCTTCACTTCGAGTCTCTTGGCACTGCTCTGTATTCCCTCAGTGTCTCGTTACAGTGGCTGACTTAGTTTCCGTCCAATGGCTTATCAGCACGACTTACGCTTTATCTCCCTGTGTATGTCTAAATGTGTGTGTGTGTGTGTGTGGGGGGGGGGGGGGCATATGCTTGTGCGCCTGTGCGAGCGGGTGTGAGCTCAGCACCAACAAAGCGTGATATTAAGAAAACTACTCTGTCTAAACTCCAGACACAGACATAGCGCTTTTTACTTCCTGACAAGACTCTGCTTCGCTAGCAGATTTCCTCACTTGCATCATCTGCATATTATTAGCATCTATTTCTCAGCGTGCCATTGCCTTTTGTCACACTATGTCTCATCCTCTCCGTGTTGTTGTATTTTCGCTCTCTCTGTTAGTCCATCTGTTTCTCTCTAAATTCGCTTTTCGTCCTCTCACTCACATTCACGACTCCATTGACTTTCACTATATTGCCTGGCGGGCTCTGATAGTGATGAAACTCTGTGAAATAGCCTTTTACTGGCCACTCCACATATGTTAAAATAAAACAAAGAAAAACACCTGATGGACATCAGAAGATAGGAGGGATTGCATAATGAAAGTGATCTCAGTCTTCGAGAGTAACTTGACTTTCGTCAGGATCTCCCTTTCTCACCACTGATAAAATACGAAGCTTAAAATGTCGCAGTGAGAAAGAGAGTTGAGAGGATGCTTTATAAGTCCCATTAAAATCCTGCTTTATTCCCTTTAAACTGGTCATAAATAGGAAATTACACCACTGGATAGACAGTGAACTTAATTAATGGCAAAGGATGGGTAACGCATCCAGAATGGAAATATGAATGATTTATCACCTCTTAAGCCCATCCAGATATTATTAAAGGGACAGTTTGACATTTTGGGAACTACATTTTGGGAAATATGCAGCTACTCCACAGCCGGTTAGCTTAGCTCAGCTGGAGGCAAGGACGAACAGCTAGGAAATAACTCTCTCGCCATATGCTGTTTTTTGTGCAGAAACAAGATAAGACATTTTAACCTGTGAGTTTAAGAGGTTCTGTTTTGTTTTGTTTTTTTAACCTTGGACAGAGCCATGTTAGCTGTCCAGTCTTTATGCTAAGCTAACCGGCTGCTGACTTTAGCTTCATGTTTATCGCACAGACATGAGAGTGGTATCAATCTTCCCATCGAACTCTCAAGAAAGTGAATACGTGCATTTCCCAAAATGGAAAATTGCAAGAGCGGCCATTTCTCAACAATCGCTATTTAGATTTGAAATCATACAACTGGAAGACTGGCAGTTAAATTTGTACTTAATTTAAAATGTTTTTTGTACATCGACTCCCCAGGGTAATTATGTGTATCGTTTGTAACAGCAAATACAAAATATAAGTGCGCAGAATTAATATTTAAAGATTAATTTGATAAAAATGTTTCTCATAATCTCTATACTTGAAAGTTTCCATGAGCAGTATACATTTTACTACATAACACTTCATGGACACCTCTGGAAACCACATTGTATAGTTCTGTGAACACACGCTGACAATGGTCTGCAAATGTCATCTGTTTTCTCAGACAGCAGAACATGACCTCCCTCCACCAGGACAATGACCCATTTTGTAATCTGAACCAAAAGGGTTCAGAAAGTAAAGGCTGCGGCCTTGTAACGGACATCAGCGTGTGACCTCTCTGCTGTTCCTGTATCCATTGTCCTCTCTGCTCCAACCGCCAGTATAATCCTAATCTCTGGGAAAAATTAACGCCACTTCATAAACGGATGAAAGGAGAGATTTTGAAGTATCCTGAAGCGTCCTGCGCTGGTGGAAAAAGCTTCAGAGGGCCAATCCTTCACTGCAGCAGCTCAGGAGGAATCTGGAAGGATTTTGCTGCATAGTTGCTGTGAATTTGTCCAGAACAGGTCTGAAAAGGTGCAGTCGTGCAGGAGGATTTGTGAGGACGATGTAGCTCAGAGGTAGAAGCACCGTTATACAAGTGAGAGAGAAAGAGAGCTGGGGAGAGAGAGAGAAACTGATATTTTGCTGCTTCTCCCTCATAGCATGTCACGTTTCACCTTTCATCTCTCTCAGCTTTCTCTGTGGGCAAAGGTATTCTTTTTATCCCCTCATTCTTCCGTTCCTCTCTCCTCACCGCAACCCCTCTTCTCCCTCTCTTAACTGCACATTACGACTCCCCCTCACCCACTCCCACCCTCCCTCGGTGCTGAAGCCTATCTTCCAACATGCATGAGTGGTTTTTGCTGCTCTCGTGGAGGAGGTAGTTGTTGTTTTGGCTTATTTTAGCTGCTCCAAATCCTCTCTGCTGTTGCGCTCCACGCAGCCAAAGCAGAAGGAAAACATTTAGCCACAGTCAGTGGAAGATAGGGAGGTTCAGTCCAAATAAGTGGTTCTGTGCGGTTTAATTCAGTCCAAACAGACTTCAGACTGAATATTTTCTAAGAATCCCCAAAACACATAAAACCCTAAAAGTGCTGACGTTTTGGGCAAATGTAGGCTGGCAGCGATGGGAAACAAACTGAGACAAGGCATTAAAATGCAACATGATCTTCCCGTTTGATTGAAGCAAGACTTCTGAGGCAACTCTTACAGCAGTGGTGCCCAGTCGACCCACAACACCCCCAACTAGTTGCCACAAGAGACAGTTGTGAGAAAAGCACGATCCAAAATCAAGCAATGCTGATAATCAGTTGGCTTAGAAATACATTTTCGAACGTTTTGACATTTGTTGTCTTTGTCTCATAGATAGTATATATATATATACATATATACTATATATATCTGTATAGGTATATGAAGAGTCATATGACTCCTGTAAACGTGGTGATGTTTGACAGTGTCTCCTAGGCAACACCGCTTAACAACTCCGGGGCCTCAGCTGTCTGTAAGTTTATATCCAGGGGCCCCTGGGTGACACTGGACCCCGCTATGACGTCATCCCCACGGGCACCTTCCGTAATTGAGCACAGTTGCATGTTACCAGAGGCCAAGCTGTTTTCCATGCAGGCGACAGACTCTCTGCTATCTTATTACTAGAGCGACCAGCTGTCCTCTCTGCCACCGGCTCACTGGCCGGTGTTACTTCACTCTTTAATGTTTCACACCGTCCTCTGTGCAGAAGTCTGATCCAAAGAGTTAAGATTTGACTCCTGGGAGCTAAATTACCTGCATGGCTTCACTTAAATGTGGAGTACAACTCCCGCGTGTCCACAGTGGGATTTGTTGTTGGGGGAACATGCAGTCAGTGAACAGTAGCGTTTAAATGATTCGATTATTTTTCGTTTTGGTTTGTTTTGTTTTGCGTTTCTGTCTAAGGCTTAGTATAAGAGGTATAAAAGAACACACAAAACTCACACACATATAACATAAAGTCAGCTTCGTCATATTATTTCAACATTGACACGGTAATGCTGTGTTACCGTAGCAACCAAGTGCTACAGGCGATGGGGAAAAAGAAGAGAGTGAAGGGAGAGAAGTTTGAGGTTCACATCAAATCCCGTCATTTAACCCATATTACCTCCTTTCTCTCACGCACACAACCTTTCTGCCCGACTCTCGGGCACTTAATCGCTTACTCACACACAGGAAGTCATGGTCACACACTCTCACACTGACACACGCGTACAGCTGTTGAGGATAAGCAGGAACAGGGTGTAGGGCTTTAGGCTGCACTCCTGCTGACAGTGTGATGAGGAGAGAAGACGAGAGATTGTAGTACTCCTTCAAAATCTTGGTTTTTATACTTTATTTCTTAGCCCCGATGGGATTACTTCCGATATTTCTCTCTATTTCTGTCTACGTCTTTCTCCCCCCTCTGTTTACTCTCTCATCCTCCATTTCTCTCCCTCCTACTCGCTCTCTCTCTCTCTCTCTCTCTCTCTCTCTCTCTCTCTCTCTCTCTCTGTCTCCCCCATCCGTTTCTTCCATGATGAATTCTGCATCGGTAAGACAGAATCATTATTTTGACTTGGAGGGGTGAGTGGGTAAAATGTAGGCTGAGCTGCCTTCGTGATTCATGCTATCTGTATCAATTTGTTGTGACACAGATGCACACACACACACACACACACACACACACACACACACACACACAAAGGCATGGCCCATGGGAGAGTTTGACATGCAATGACATTGTTGTTGTGATAGTGACTATTAATTAGCGGGACTGACAGGTAAGACAGAGAGAGGGAGAGATAAAGGGACACAAACAAAGGAGAAAGAGGTGATGGAAAACAAAACTATCAGTAAAGCATCATTTGAGGCCAGATTCAGCAAATCCACAGCTACATATGTTCTACTGCAACACCATGTCTTTAACGGATGTGGCATTGCTTTCTACTGACCGCTCAACTGGGCCCCAGTCCAAGGCGGAATACATTCTGAATTTGGAGAGAAAATTAAGGATTCTTGGCTTTTGATGTCACATCCGCATCAGTGCGACTAGAATAGAATAGATTTTGTCTTGGATGTGTGACAAGTTGTAATGTATGCCCACTCATTCCTAAGAAAGGATGGATAGACAGATGGTATTGATCCAAAGTGCACGCACACATACACACTATATCGTTATTTTGTATTTATTTTTTATGTGCGATAGATAGATAGATGGATGGATGGATAGATGGATAGATCACTTATCTTGCTAATTGGATGCCCTTTTCAAAGGCTTGTGAAGTGTTCACAAAAACAAATCGAGCACATCTCAACTGGCTGTAATATCCAGGACTATTATCACCCATTTTCTGTGATTACTTGGTAAGTCAAGCACTATTCTTTCTCAGGAATGAGCCGTGCTAGTTTATCAGCCTCATGCTGGATCCACACTGGACTTGCTTAGAGTGTAATACTATATCGGTATCGTTTGGCAGGTGCTGAACTGGAGTGGTGCTGTTTGTGGTGCAGAGGATTACCCAGATTTATCCCTGCCAATGTCCTTTGAAAGTGGGCCAGTACCATGTATGTGTGTGTTTCATCTGCACCAAACTAAACTGTGGTCAGAGGAGAGGAGAAAACAAGTCCCGCTTGCAGACATACAGGTTTCTGCATGCGTTGTATCCAGCTGGAGCTAGTCCAATTCCTACATGACGCTGGTAGCCAAGCTGGTGTAAAAATCACCACGACAACAAACTATTCGTTAATTCTTATCACAAGCCGCCACTGAGGAGGTCAGGGGTCAAAGCCACAGCGCCCTGATAAGAGATAATATGTCTGTGTTCCTAGAAAGAGCAAAACCGTTGTAGGAGAGAAGACAAAATAAACGCTTTTGGGGAATAATTTTAAGAGTAAAATCCAAGTTTGTAGAGAAACCTTGTTGTTGACTGTGGAATTAACGTGAGTACCTGTGATCTAAATAACTTTAAATTGCATTAAAATGGCTATTGATTACATACTTGAATTTGCCAGATGCTTTGGATAGTTTGCCAACAAGCTGTCATTTCAGTTTCTATTTAACTCCGAGTCTCATGTAACACTAAGGGATTAGGCTCCACTCCAAACCTAATGCTTCACACACACACACACACACACACACACACAATCGCACTCACACACACTTTGTCACATTGCTGTGGCTTCATGCCAAACCCAACATCCCAGCGGGGTTGAAAAGTTCCACCAGCTACTAACCACCCGGTGATGACTTTGGGTTGTTGGTACCTTCTCACAGCTGACCGATGTCTTTAAAGAGTTCAACTCAAACTGGTGAAACAGGGAATGCATCCAACCAATTTAACGGCCTGGCAGCTGCTGCAGGCAGACAACGTTTAGTTTTGACCGTGTAACCCTGTGGCTCTCTTCCAAACATTATGCTATCCCTTCATCACTGCACTGTATTAGAGCCGTACTCAAGGCATAATGCTACAACCTAAGTCACCGTATTATGGCTCCATTCCACTCCAAATGTTTTACCCTCAGTCAGTGCATTAGGTCTCTATTCGAAGCC